CGAGAAAAACAAAAGCATGCAAACTGAATCCAAAACAAGCGTACAAAAATGAACAGTAAACGATTGAAACACAACTTGTGCTTTAAAGACACACTCTGAAAGAGCAAAGCAGAGATTGTGAACCAACCACCAAAATATCAAAACACTTGCCAAAAACAGAGCATCGAGAATCTCTCTAGTATCCAACTCAAACATAGTGGCAACAAGATCAAACTCAGCTCGTCCTATCACAACGAAGTTCATGGCAAGTGAAAACAACAATACCATTAGCCGCCTCCTGGGGATAGCTCAAAATTTCCATCACAGTGAACCTTGAAGACAAGATTGCATGGCGGTGGACAAGGATGTAAAACGGATTGTACTGAGCTAAAGAGGCAGGGAGCCGAGGAAGAGAGAACGAGTCCAAGAGAAAAGATGGTCCGAACCGAGCCACCACTCACCGAGGAGAACATCGAAAAGTCCACCACACACGACCGGAGAAGACTCCACCTTCACCAATCTAGAGACCTACCCAATAGCGGATCTACCGCTAGAGGAAGACAAAAGGGGAAAGCAGAGAATGGCCTCATTCCGAAGAAGGGCCACCAGATTGGGGGAATCAATCACACCAAAGATGGATTGAGAATGCTAGATCGAAAATCTCCAGCTCCCAAGAAGGGCAAGCCCAATAACAGAATCGAAGAGCACCTGCTCAACTTGAAATGGAAAAAATCTGAAGGCTACAACGTCTGGAAAAACGAAAAACGAACCTGAAAATTCAAGGCAAAAATGACCAGAACAGCGGCAAAAGAAGTGCGAGCCAGAAAGGAAGAAGATATGAGCAATAGTTGGGCTTTCGTCAATCACCAAAAGGAGCCGGCGGCAGCCCCTGAAAGCCGAACCTAGATCTGAAAGTTAGAGAGAAGGGGGAGCGCTATTTTGAAAATAAAATTACCTTAAAAGTGTTTAGAATCCTATTTTCTTGAGTTTTATCTCTCAGGACCCTTAATTTTACAAAGGCTGGATTATATTAAATTACATTATATTACATTAAAGTGCTAAGACTAACTTCAGTGATGCAAAGCCAAAGTTAGGTTAATGGTTATTTGATTCAGATTTAGTCAGTTTAATCAACCAACCTATACACTTTAGTTTTGAAAATACTAAATTTAAACTCTCTCAATGCCATTTCTCCTTTCCTCTTCATTTTGCTTCCAATGCGATTTCTTTCCTCATTGACAAGGGGGTGGAGAAGGGGGACATCCGAGGAATCAAGTTGAATCAGTATTATCCTACTATCTCTCATTGCATGTAATGTGATTTTTGGTAAAGGCAATGTTAGAGAAGTAGTCCATTTCCTGAATATCTTGAAGAATTATGGAAGTGTAACCAAACAAAAATAAATGTTGCAAAGTCTTCCATTTTCTTTTGCAAGAATATAGATGTTAAAATAGAACCCTACCCGACTAACCCGCTCGATAAACCCGATCTGCAATCCAATCTCAACCCGAATTGACTAAAAGCCAATAACCAGTAACCCGTCCAACCCACAACGCGACTAACCCGCAACCCGACTGACCCGTAACCCAATTATCTCGAATCCGATTGACCCGCAACCCAATTAAACCCGCAACCCGATTAACCCAAACCCGACTAACCCATAACCCGACCGACTCAACCCGAACATCACCTAATCCACTTGAATAATTATTATATTATTTAATAAAAAGTTTTTCAAAATAAATTTTTTCATTCTAAACTTAGATAAAATTATTTTTTCATTTTGTATAGGGAATTTAAAAAATATTAAACTTATTTGATATTATGAATTTTGAGAAAATTACAAAAATTGAACATTAAGCTCACTTGAACACTAAGTTCTTTAATAAAATTTAAAAAGTAAATAAAAATATAAAATATAAAATCAGCACAATGTCAATATTAATAATGAAGAATTAATAATTGAGATCATGGAAAATATTAATATAATAGATAAATTAAAATTTTGATTAATTTAACTATTCAACAAAGTTATTAATTAAATATAAATAAAGTAAAGTAATTTATGTGATAATTTGATGCTTTTAAATGAAGAGGAAAATTTTGGTGGATTCAATTTTTTGGGAAGAGTAAAAAGAGAGAAATTTGATTCTTTGAATTTTTTAGAAAAAAAAAACAATTGAGAATTTTGGTGGTTTTGGTTTGTAGAAAAAAAAAAGTGCGAAATTTTTGTTTTATTGATTATGAAAGAGAAATAAAAAGGAAAATTTTGAGTTTTCAACTTTTTGTGAAATGATGGAAGGGAGAGGGAAATTTGAAGGATGAACCCTAGGTTTAGTAGGATCCGCTGTCACAAAGTGGCATGTGGGGTTGAGATTACTGGGTAATAAAAAAAAAAGAAGGAAGATGGAAATTTGAATCCTCAATTTTATCAAAGAGAAAGAGGAAGAAAATTTGGTTCTTTTAATTTTATGGAAGAGAAAGAGGAGGGAAAATTGAGTATTTCTAAATTATGTAAGGACAAAGAAGGAAGAGAATTAAAAAAAATTGCGAAAAGAAAGAAAGAAACAAATTTGATTTTTTCAATTTTTTGGTTCTTTAAAATTTTATTCTTTGAAATATGAATCTTTAATTTTTATATGGAGGATATGACTAATTAAATTTATTCTTATATGATTTGAAGGTATATATATATATATATATATATATATATATATATATATATATATATATATATTTGTCTATGGTCTAATAACTAAATTAACCATTAGTTACAACAATCGTTTGTTTAGGAAACGTTCACTAAATTTGTCTACTTGTTTTCTATGCTTCTACATTTATTGCACGTGGTTAGGGTATATGGTATATGATGTAGAGTATAAGATATATGGTTAGAGTATAGCAAATATCACTTTTTTATCTATGTTTTGAAAATCAAAGTATGAATTTCACTTTAAATTAACTATACTAGCAATATCACAACTCATAAGGATATATTATTAGGGTATAGGGTATGTGGTTTGTGTATAATGTATTGATGATTTAGGGTATACGATCAACCAAATATGCCAACTTAATATTGTCGATTGAGGGTAAGGTTAAGTGTATAGGATATATGTTATTGATTAAGTTGTGATTGAAGCACAACAATAATACTAAAATACCAAATAAATAATTAATGGTATCTTTTGGTTGCAAATGTCGATATCACCATTACTATTAGCTAGTGTATTTTACAAATTAAATTAATTACATAACAAGTTTGCAAGTCATACAAATTGATTCAACATTTTGGCTAGTTTTTTGTTTAATTAAGTATATATACGAGGTAAAAAGAAATAGGTTAAAAATTGAGAACAATATTTTAAATTAGTGTAATAAAATGTATAAGTTGAACAACCCGCAACCCGCCCGACCCAAAACCCGATGAACCCGCAACGCGATTTGCCCACAACCCAATTGAACCCAAACCCGATTAACCCGCAACCCGACTAACTAATTCGGGCCCAAATGTATACATTTTACCCCTCATTTCTTATTCGTTTAGCTTAGTATTTCATCGTTCCTCGACATATTTCACGCTAGGTTGTGCTTGTTTTGATACATTTCGGGTCCTAGCATGTGTGGTAGGGTCAAGGATGAGTTTTTGGATATTTGGAGGTCAAAAAGCGCAAAAACCGAAGAAATGTCCGACCGTGACAATTGTCCCGTAACAGTGAAGTGAAGGCGTCCAGGAAACAGCCGCAGCTCACGGTCGGACAAGGCAGTTCACGGTCTTCTAAGACCGTGAAGAGGAGGCATGGGACGTGTCAGCTACTGCTGAGTTCTTATTCCAAGGAGTATCCGCATGCAGCTATGATTGAAAGAGCTAAGGAGCTTCTTCATAGACAATGAGGCATATGTGTACCCATGTTTATAGAGAAGGTAATAAGTGTTCTGATTTTTTGGTTAGTTGGGGCTATTGTGTTTATTGGGATCGCATTTGTTCTCTGTTTCGAATCCTACTATTTGTAACTAGCTACGGTGTGATGTTTAAGGTATTTCCGAACCTCGAATGATTTTGAATGAAAGATAAGATGCAACTGCATCCATTTAAGAAAAAAACTAATATTGAAACCGAAGAACGATTTCTAGAGGATGATAATGTGGCAAACTTTACTCCTTATAAAGATCTCTATAAGCCTCGAGGGAATTTATATTTGTATGTGGATGTTGTTTTTTAAAATCCAATAAATTATGTTTTTAACGTTCACATAAACAGTTGGATCAAACTTCCACCCATTCTCAATTAAATAAGATAAAACCATTGAGCGCAAGGTACTAAAAAGCTATACAATGTGGCATGGAAACTAAGCATCTTCTATTGTCAAGTTCGAAATTGTAAGAGACATCAATAAAACAAGATCATTCAGTCTTTGATCCTCCAGTCAACTCCTCCATTTACTATGAACTAGAACGGAAGCCCTCCCTTCCTGGCGGGGATTTACATTGGTTGTACTAAAATTGTTCTTTAGGGTGAAGTGTGTGTTTCAGTGTTACAAAAAATTCTAGTGATCACAAACATGACCATCCAGCAACTGATAGTGTGCCCAAGTAATTTGGTCTTTCATAGCTTGCTACAAAACCTGTAAATTGTACAATTTTAGTTTAGAGAATCAAGTAACAAGCGAAAACCACCAAACAATTGAAAGTAGGCATAAACGGGGAGCAATTACCCTTGTTGGTAAGCACAATAAGTTATGGTGCTTCACCATATCCATATTTAAACACAGTAACACAGTCAATTGAGATAGTGGAAAAATAGTCATTGTATTGTTGAACTAATTACAAATTCACATATGTTTATTTGATTAGATAAATTATAAGTCCTTGGCATATACCGAACATGATTTTTTTTATGTTAATCAAATGATATCCTCTAAAATCATATTCATGATGCTTCTAGTTCTAACAAAGTCCAATTAGTTAATGCATTTATAGTGGTTAGAACCTTTTTTTTTACGAAAATCTGTAGAAATATATTAATAAGATGTTGCGGTTACATTATCCAACACTATCTGATCAACTAGAAAAATCGGTGGTATATCAAACCAGATCACACTCTCCTTCCACCTCGTCTCCGAGTGAGACATAATGTGAGCAGCCTTATTTCCTTCTCTAGGCGAGTATTGCCAACTCACCTGTCCCATTTCGTCAAGTAACATCAAGATGTTCTTGCATATATTGGCAATTTCGTTATGGATACTCCCCGCTGCCACTAACTTGGATTTCAGTGTCCGACAGTCTGTTTCCAGGATCACATTCGTCAGATGAGCTTGAGTGGCAGCCTGTAACCTGAACTCCGCGGCTAGGGCTTTAGCCATCTCCGTCTCCCACCTACCGGTAAGCTTCTTTGAAGCAGCTAGGATCAACTTCCCCTCAGCATCCCGAATAACCGCACCAAGACCGATACCACCAGTTGCAAAAACCCCTACACCTGTGTTTACACTTCACCACAGCGAGTTCGGGTAACTTCTTTTCTACCCTCTGCTACGTGCGGTACTCCTCGATGAAAGCCTTTGCGCGAGGCACAATCTCACTCTCCTCCATTTTTTGGCCATTAAACATTTGGGCATTCCGTTCCCGCCATATAAACCAGAGGAGGACGCACCAGTCTTCCACCTCAGTAGCCGATTTCCTCTCTAGCACCTTCTTGAACCAGGAGTAGCTGCACTTCGACTGACGAAGTTCAAAACAGCTTGCTAGTGCCGACCCTCTGCACAGTCTAGAAGACGACGCACAATCACAAAAAATATGAGCTTGTGTCTCCCGATCATCACAAAAAGGGCACTTGTCCCCCCATCGTGTACTTTTTATGCTTATGTGATCGACTGTGGGTAGAATTTCTCTCAAAAAGCACCATAGGAAATGCTTTATCTTTGGTGGAATTGTTAGCCCCCACAACCCTTTCCAAACTTGAGTCTCCCCGACCTGCACAATCGATTCCCTGGCTTTGAATTCCTCTAACAAGAAACAGTACCCATCCCGAACAGTATAATCGCCCGAGTTGCTACCCCTCCAGATTAGCCTATCCTTTTCCTCGATATTACGTAGAGTAATTTGACGAATAACATCAGCTATCTCTATCGGAAGCAACCCTCAAGAACTGCCTCACCCCACATGTCCGAATCCGGCGATATCAGCTCGCGAATCGTGGCATCAACCGGGAGCCCCATAGGAGCTGACTCCACAAAAGAAACAGGCTCGATGGGCAGCCATCTATGCCCCCAAACGCGGATAGAGGCTCCGTTACCCACTCTCCATCGAAAACCATCAATTCAAAAAAGCCGGAGCACTCATTAAACTTCGCCAAATAAAACTTGGTCGATAGCCCACTGATGCGTCCAGAATAGAACTATTTTTATGATACTTAGGACACAAAATCCGCCCAATCAACGAGTATGGTCGTTCGCATAATCGCCATAGCTGCTTGGCGAGCATTGCCGTGTTGAACCCCTGAATATCTCGGAAGCCTAAGCCTCCTTCCTCCATAGCACATATCATCTCCTCTCTCCTTAGCCAATGCACTCTCCTTTCTGCTCCTCGTTGACCCAAATAAAAATTGCAAATGGGTTTATGAATTTCCTCCACCACAAGAGCAGGAATCCGAAATACCGACATCACATAGGTGAATTACGCTTGTGCCACCGACTTTATCAGTACTTCACGGCCCGCAACTGAGAGCGACCTTTCTTTCCAGATCTGGATTTTCTTTCTAGTTCTCTCCAAGATACCCTGAAAAATGTCTTTCTTCGATCGCCCCACCACAGTCGGTAGTCCCAAATATTTATCATGCTTGTCCACCAGCTTCATTTCCAGCTCACCACTGATCATTAGATGCAAGTGCATATTAACATTTCCACATAATGAGATTTCAGATTTTGAAAGCTAACTTGCTGTCATAAGCTCTCAAAATTTCCTTCAAGGTGCTCGCCTCATTGACAGTCGCCTTTCCAAAGATGACGTTGTCATCGACAAAGAAAGGATGGGGTGATTAAGGGTGCCCCTCTTGCCAGGGAGAAACCATGAAACTTATCATCAGTAACAACCCTTTTTGTAAAAGTGAAGAGGCCCTCGGCACAGAGTAGAAAAAGGTAGGGAGATAAAGGATCCCCCTGCCGCAATCCTCTTTCCGGGCTAAAGCTCTGCGACTTCTGCCCATTTACCAAGACTGAGTAGGACACCGTCCGTACACACATCATAATCCATTGTATCCATTGATCCGCAAAACCCATCCTCTTCATAATTCCTTCGAGGAACCACCACTCCACTCGATCATAAGCTTTCGCCATATCGATTTTTGCTGCAAAATAACCTCCATTGCTAGTCTTGTCAATTTTCTTCATCGAATGGAAACACTCGAAAGTAGCCATGACATTATGTATGAAACGCCCGGGCACAAAAGCATTCTTAATAATAATAATAATAATAATAATAATAACAATTATTAAACTTAGAGTTAATTACAATGGGTCACATCTTAGATGGAAAAAATTACAAAAAGTACATTTTTATGGGACAATAAGGATCAATAATCTCGTTACTTATTCTTTTATAGAGATGTAATGATGATGATAATAAATAATAATAATAATAATAATAATAATAATAATAATAATAATAGTCTGTGCTCTGCGGCGAGAGGTGGTGCAATTTAAGGACTATCACGCGAAAGTTACACTCACACATACATACTCATTGTTAACTGAATAATCATTGATGTATTAAATGAAAGGCTGAAATTGATTTTTGCCATATGAAATATAGGAGTCCTATCTAGAAAAAAATTAAATTACTTAGTTTTCATGGTCGGTGAGGAGAAATATAGAAGCATTCTAGCAAGACTATTAACAAATTATAAATCATTGACCATAAAGAAACCATTTTTCCGACCACATTGTTGGCAAAAGCTTGTTCAACGACTCAAAAGGAATGAATCATCAGAGGAGCTAAAGAAGGAAATCCAAAAATCTATCTAAGCAATTTGGGAAAGTCAACTGTGAATCAAGATCAAATCACAATCACAGTGATTGAGCAAGGGGGACCTAACGGTCATAGACTTGGGGATACTTAAGAGGGAAAAAGGGGAATTGTATGGACACTTTTGTTCGGGTGATTTTCAAACAGAGAGATAGAAAAGGTATGGGTTTGAAAGAGAACAAAAGGGAGTTAGAGTTGTCAGGGAGAGAGCTCTAAGTGATCAGTACTCTTGAGGTGGAACAGGTGACGGGGAGTCAGGGTTCCAGGGGGAATCTGAGTGTGTGTGACAGGGAGTCACAAGGGAATCGTTTATGTACTCTGTAAGCTGAACAACAACATCCATAGTAAATCGTCAAAGGGCTCAATCCGAGTGCCTTTGGCCGTGGACTAGTCGATACTGATTTATCAGTATCGGAAACCACGTAAAAATCTTGGTGTCTTGTCCTGAACTTTTATTTTTCTAACTCTGGTGCAGCTGAGTCTCTGTTTTGGCACAAGTACTCTGTTCTTTTGCAGGGAAGGAGTTCTGATCCAGACGAGAACAGGGAAGGAGATCAAAACGTTGGCGTTTCAAGAAGAGAAGACAGTCAAGGAGCTGGGCCGTATTTTGGTGTTGATCGAATTAAAAGAATTGGGCTTAAGCCCAAACAATTCTCAACCTGCTCTTCCACTCAACCGCTCTCAATACACTTCTCTCGATCAAGTTACATTGTTTTCCAAATCCCTCGATCTCAATTTCACAATCTAATTAGGGTTCTTCTTTGGTTCTTCGAGAAACACTCAAAAAGCAGGAAAGGTCTCGCGCTCGACCGATTTCAACACGTGGTATCAGAGCTGGTCACCGTAGAACAAGGCTTATCAACCTCCGGTGAAGTCGAAAATGGCGTCGGGCTCGTCGAACAGCAGCAACGTGTATCTCGCCGATGGATTCTCTCAGACGCGACCTCCCAGATTCGAAGGTGTCAACTACGGATACTGGAAGAATAGGATAGAGCTCTTCATCGGCTCCACTGATCCAGATCTTTGGGATATCGTGATGGATGGGCCACTTGAAGTCAAAGGAGCTAGAGGTAAATGGTCCGAAGAAGACAAGAGGAACTTCCAGCTCAACTCAAAGGCTACTAATCTGGTGTATTGCCCGCTGGGTCCTGAGGAATATCATCGGGTCTCAGGATGCAAGAATGCCAAGGAGATTTGGGATAAGTTACAGGTTGCACATGAGGGCACTTCGCATGTGAAGATCTCCAGAATCAATCGACTCAAGCAAGAATTCGAGTCGTTTGTGATGAAGCCTGAAGAATCTATCAAAGAAATGCACGATAGATTCACAACTATAGTCAACAGCTTAAAGAACCTCGAAGTCGAGTATACAAGTGCAGATCTGGTACGAAAGATTCTTTGGGCTCTTCCTAAGAAGTGGACGCCCAAAGTCACAGCAATAGAAGAATCCAAAGACTTAACTCCACTGAGTTTGGACGAGCTCATGGGGTCACTTATCAAACATGAAGACAAGTTGAAAAGAGAAGAAAACGATGAACCCAGAAGGGAGAAAAGAAGTATAGCATTCAAGGTTACTTCTCCAGAAGATGAGTTTGACAGTTTAGAAGATATGGAGGATGAAGAATTGGCAATGCTGAGTAAACACGTTGCAAAAATGCTGCGTATAAGGAAAGAAAGAAGAAAAGGAGCGCTTGTCAACAGATCAAAGGAAGGGGAATCAGAAAAGGAGCAATTGAAGCCCTTCAAGGCAAACTCGAGATTCATAAAGGAAATCAACACCAATGACAGGGGTGGAATGCAAGGTGGCTGTTTTAAGTGCGGAAGGAGTGGGCATATCAAGGCTGAGTGCCCACAACTGAAACGCGAGAAGGCCTATGTAGCTACCTGGAGCTGCAGTGAAGATGAGGATGATGAACTGGAGTCAAACGGGAAATACGAAGCCTACATGGCAATTGGGGAAAGCGAAGATGATTCTGATCCGTCTCAGGTACACAATATTCACTACTATTCAGATTCCTACAATGAAGATGATCAAATGGTAGAAACCATAAGAGATATTCAATCTGAATTTAGCTAGTGTTAAGATTAAACATTTGAAGCTTAAAACAGAACTTAGAGAAATTTCTGAGAAATATAATAAGCTAAAAGAGGAGAAACTCAGAATTGATGAATTATTGAAAGAAAC